ATGCAGGTAGTCTTGACAGCTCTGGTTTATGAGAAACAGCAGAAGCTGAGAATTATGATGAAAATGCATGGGCTTGGTGATGGACCATATTGGTTGATTTCCTATGCTTATTTCCTTTCCATATCTTCAATCTACATGCTGTGCTTTGTGATCTTTGGCTCAGTCATCGGTAATAATCCGTCTAAGCTTCTTTTGTAGTTTGTTATTTTCTTGCAGTTATTCTAATTTGGTTGCACTTTTGCAGGTTTAAAGTTTTTCACATTGAACAACTACAGTATCCAGTTTGTCTTTTATTTCATCTACATAAACTTGCAAATTTCTCTGGCATTTCTGGTAGCGGCATTTTTCTCCAATGTGAAGACTGCTACAGGTTTAACGGTGGTGAAATTGATTTTTTGTAGTTGGTATCTTTTCATTTACCTGATGATTCCAGCTAACATCACTGACAATTTGAAATATGATGACTGCAGTGGTGGGTTATATATGTGTCTTCGGAACTGGTCTATTGGGAGCTTTCCTTTTCGAATTCTTCGTCCAAGATACATCTTTCCCAAGTAAGTAAAAGTTACCATGAAAAGAAAGGCTGATATCCAATTAAAATTGCCTTTGTGTTCTGGACCTTTTTTCTGAGAATCACTTCTTGAAAATTAAGACAATTGGTTAGTTGCATGGTTGATTTCTTAATCAACCCCATCGTCCCTTTTTTTCTCAGAGTTCTTCCATATGTGTGCGAGCTGCTTGTGTTTTTCTTTTGCCAACTTTAAACCCCTCACAAGTGGCATTTTCAGCCATAGTTTACATTGCCTGAGACAGATCCCTGATGGTGCATGGGAAGTAAAAGGTGGTGCCACGGCACCATCTTGCCTGTGGCGTGCTGCTTGTGTCGGTACCAAACAGCAACAACTTGGTAGGCATCCCACCAAGTGGGGTAGACTACCCAAATCTTTTTAAGACGTTGTGCGATATTCTTTATCAAGTATCATGTAAGGTCTATGTGCTTACTTTTCCTATAACCTTCTTCCACGTTTTTTAGTCTTCCACCGTCACTTTTGACCTGAATATCTACCCATAACCACATTGTCTCGCTAGAATATTTAAAGGCCATCATTCCATGTGTTCAAACCACCTCGAATGAGCTAAATTGAGAGAGGCTGGTGTTTGTAGTTAAAGTGGAACTTCTACAACAGTGGAGAGTAGTCAATTTTATCTTTATGAGCATAAATCTTCTCCTCTATTTTTTTGCACGAGAGTAATGTACCTTTTGTGTGAAGACCATGGTTGCTCCTATGGGAAAGTGTTTAATCAGACATCTATTTGCACAATGTCCATTTAGAGCAAGAGAAGGAATAGTTGATGCTTGCAAGATGTCATTTTCACTTTCTTTATGCATCTTGTTCAGTATTGCATTAGGGGTTACTTTACCGTATGAAAGTCTGCAGCCCTTCTGAAGTCAGTGCTTTGATGCTTCCTGTTTTGGCCACTTAATTTTTCTTTTCCTAATCAATTGTGTTAATCTTCTACAGGAGGTTGGATTATAGTAATGGAATTATACCCTGGCTTCTCACTGTACCGTGGGTTGTACGAATTGGCACAATATTCCTTCACAGGAAATTATATGGGGACTCATGGCATGCGTTGGGGTGATTTAAGTGATAGCGAAAATGGGTTGAAAGAGGTTCTGATTATCATGGTTGTTGAGTGGTTGGTGGTGCTTTTCGTAGCTTACTGTATAGATCAGGTCACGTCATCTGGAAGTGGAACTATGTCTCTCTTTCAAAGATTCCGAAAGAAGCATCCATCTTCTTTCCGGAGGCCTAGTTTGCAAAGGCAAGGATCTAAAGTCTTTGTTCAGATGGAGAAATCTGACGTCAGCCAGGAGGTAACTATTGCATCTCCTTTAGTTATTTTTTGGTAGTGGAAATAATGCATATTGATATTGCTTTTAAATACAGGCCCCAATAGGTTTGATATATAGAGTACCTTGACAATTGCATCATAGCTTAGACAGCAAATAGTGGGGTTGTTCATCTCTTTCAAAGGACTTCATTGGTTGTTTTCATCTTACATTTAAACGGTCTTTAACCTACAACCTACCTATTATTTTTGACTGCTGATTGTTGGCGGTTGAAGAGTTTCGTCAATAATACGAGAATTTTTACATTAGAAACGGTCTATGCTGGATGATCTCAAGTTCTAAGTGTGGTTATTTATTGTTCGAGTTGACTGGACGATGTAAGATGATTTTTTTCATTTGCATGAATTTTTCTACATAAAGTGAATGGTCTATACTGGATGTTCTCAAGTTCTAAGTGCGGTTAAATATTGTTCGAGTTGACTCGATGATGTAAGATTATTGTTTTTCATTTGCATGAATTTTTCTAGAGGGAGAAGGTTGAGCAGTTGCTGCTAGAACCGAGCACAAATCACGCTATTGTCTGTGACAATCTCGAGAAGGTGTATCCAGGAAGGGATGGAAATCCTGAGAGATTTGCGGTTAGAGGGTTGTCTCTTGCTTTGCCACCAGGGGAATGCTTTGGCATGCTTGGTCCAAATGGAGCAGGCAAAACCTCTTTCATCAGTATGGTAAGTGCAAATTTTATCTCTCTGGAAAAACGAGACTCATATTCTATTAACATAAACTTTGGAGCATCTCAACGGAGATTTCTTTTGTTAAAAAAAATGCTCAGAGATTGTTGTACGTTGTCCTTAAAACTCAAGAGACATCATTCTATCTGTTAACAGATGATCGGCCTTACAAAACCAACCTCTGGAACAGCATATGTTCAGGGGCTTGATATACGGACTCATATGGATGGCATATATACCAGCATGGGTGTATGTCCCCAACACAAGTAAGCTGGCATTTCGTGTTGTCTTACTGAGAATTTTAGCCCTCCCTACTTTTTGCCTTCTGATTTTGATTTAATGCATGAGTCCTGAATTTTCCTGTCTTTATTAATTAAGTCTGCTATGGGAAACCTTAACGGGGCGGGAGCACCTGCTTTTCTATGGAAGACTAAAAAATCTCAAGGGTTCAGCATTGACACAAGTAAGCTGTTACTTTTCTTTCTTGTTCTTTTCTCGTGTCTGTGATTCAATAGTTGAAGAACAATATATTTCCAAAGTTTCAGCATATACTCTTTCATCGTCATTCACTTTGCACTCTCATTTTGTTGATCTAGGCAGTGGAGGAATCTCTCAAGAGTGCCAACTTATTTTACGGTGGTGTGGCTAACAAACAAGCTGGAAAATACAGTGGAGGCATGAAGAGGAGGCTGAGTGTTGCCATTTCACTGATCGGAGATCCCAAAGTAAGTCTTAGAGTGTATTTCATTTAGAAAGCACCAAAGACCCTTCAAGTTAACATGCTTGTGCTATTGATTTTTGCTCCAAATTTGGAAAGGTTGTTTACATGGATGAACCAAGTACGGGGTTGGATCCGGCTTCAAGAAACAACTTGTGGAATGTTGTGAAGCGTGCAAAGCAAGACCGGGCTATTATTCTGACCAGTATGTTTCGAAAACTCCCTCTCTCTGTGCCGGCCCCCCCCCCCCCCCCCCGCTCCCCGTCCAGCTCTCACAGTATGCGTTTTTGCATGCATGCTGCGCACATGTGCATTAGGCTGTGCCTAAGTTTGAACATATTAGATAGAGGTCCCAATGGGTGCATACACGCTTAGAGAAACTGAAATATCTTGATTTAGGACTCCTGGCAAAATATTCTATAGCTTTAGTGTTTTTTTTTTTTTTTTTTGCTAAAGATTTCATGGCTTTTCCTTAGTTGAGAAGGAATACCAATTTTATTGTACACTGGAGGCTACATCACTCAAGAACTTCTTTGCTTATTTTCAGCTCATTCAATGGAAGAGGCAGAGGTACTGTGTGATCGATTGGGAATATTTGTTGATGGAAGTTTGCAGTGTATAGGGAACCCGAAGGAGGTAAATAGTACATGATACAATGTGCCATTGGACTGTTAACTGGATTTTTGCTGTCATTTGAATATTTTCCCCTTTTTCCCTTGAGTTGCAGTACAGATAGATGTCATCTTTCTTTTCCTGATATAGATTCTTTCCTTTGTTTCAAATATCTTTGCACATCTACCGCCTTCTGATCCCCAAGAAATATCTGGGTTTTGTTCCTCTCTATCTAATATTTGTCTCCACCTGCATTTGATTTGGGTTCCTAAAAGAACACGTTTTTACTCTGCAAATTCTGTGCTAGTACCCGGTTGGATATCTTTGTGCGACTGTAGTGACCTTGTCGAGGGGGAAGCTTCTGATGGCTAGTCAACCTGCTTTGTATGAAAACACCTGAATGTACATTTTTATTTTTATGACAGCTGAAAGCTAGATACGGAGGCTCTTATGTATTCACGATGACAACATCATCCACTTATGAGGAAGAAGTGGAGAATATGGTGCGGTGTTTCTCTCCAGGCGCTATAAGAATATATCAAATATCTGGAACTCAGAAGTTTGAACTGCCAAAGCATGAGGTCAAGATCGCAGATGTATTCCGAGCAGTTGAGAATGCAAAGAGTAGGTTCACAGTTCATGCTTGGGGATTAACAGACACAACCTTGGAGGATGTCTTCATTAAGGTTGCTCGCAGCACGCAAGCATTCGAGGTGCTGTCGTGATTGTTAGAAAATATTATATTCTGGCATGATCCAGAATGTCATACAGAATTTTCTTGTCCCTTTTCGTCACTTGTAGCTCCAGTCCATCGTTGCTCTACAACTCCAATATCCACCAGCTCACCAGGGTACTTTTCAACCGGCATAAAGATTAGCCTGCTTTAGAAAGTTTCCGCTTTCCTTATATGTATCAATTACAGTGTTTCTTCTGTATATTGTTACCTCCCTAATGAAAGAAATGTTTCTGATGTATTTACTTAGTACAAGTCACATGCCATCGATGTTTTTAAATTCCTAAACAAAATATCATTAACTTGCGCCTAATTTTCTGTTCTTGGCATCTAACTGTACCAGAACATTGATCACGCACTGTGCTTTTAGATCAACATTAAGCATCCACTCCAGTGGCCAAATTGGTCGTGAGAGGATGACGGGGCTTGGAGGACAATCCTTTGGGAAGTCTTAGAACAATAACCACGATATCCGAATAAGCTTCAGTGATCAAGCATATTACTCTTAATCAGCAATATAAGTTGCGAAATACATTATGATGCTATTGAGGGAATCTGAGTTTTCAACCAAATATAAAGTTAGAAAAATCTACAAGGATTCTTCGCCATCATAAGGTACAATACTCCATTCAAGACAGAACAAAAGAATTAGCTGATTTTGGGTCATCCCAACCAAGAAAAGACACAGAGGCCGGCAATTGCAACGCATTCATTGTTTACATTTTTCAGAGCTACAGGGACTTACAGTATTATTATAGCACACCAATTCAGAGAAGTCGTAAATCAAATGGTCATAACTGCACTCTGAGCTGCAATGGCAAAGACTAGTTTTTATCTTGTGTTTCTCGTGGAGTTATTGTTAGCTTTTCAAGCCTGTGAAGCAAGCAAGGAAGTTGGAGTTTATGAGCTGAAAAGAGGGAACTTTTCTGCAAAATTCACAAACTATGGAGCCACTATGCTCTCTCTTATCCTTCCCGATAAATACAGTAAGTATTATTCGTTCGCCGTTGAAACACTAATTAGTGAATATATTTTTGAGTCACATCATTAGTCATAGCAGGAAAAAAGAGAACAGGAAGAAAATTTCCCCCATGATTTCCCTTCTCTGATGCGCAACATCTTGCGTTGTTCAAATCGAAGAATGAGTAAAATAAACAGAGACTGAACTTGTGTTTTCTGTACATGGAGATGACTTTTCAGGAATCTGAACTGATCAATCTCATGGAAATGATCGCCAAACATGGATTTAATTGGAGATGGAGATTAAACTGCTTGACCCTTTGTTTAATTTGGTTTTCTGCCATATGACTTCCTTTCTAACTTCTATGCAATTCAGGTAAATTAGCTGATATTGTTCTCGGATATGATACCATTGACAAGTACAAGGTCAGGATCAATCTTACTTCCTTTTTCCTCCATCCTCTGCAAAAACTAATTTAACTATGATGCAATTGTAGAAGCTATAATCGAAAAAAAAAAAAATCCCTGATGAACATGTAGATTCTATAGCAAACTTACTCTCATTATAGTTCTTCGGATAAATCTGTCATAGCTGAGCGATCTTTCGTTCATAGAACTGATGGTGCATTGCAGAATGATTCGACCTATTTCGGTGCCACTGTCGGACGGGTTGCAAATAGGATTGGTGGGGCTCAATTCACTCTAAATGGAACTCGCTACAAGTTAGTTGCTAATGAAGGAAACGACACTCTGCATGGTACTCACAACTTCCTGATCCTTCATACAACACCCATCACCGTTCATCAGCAGTATCGAATTTAACCAAATGAATTACTTCAGGTGGCCTGATAGGATTTAGCGATGTTATATGGACAATGAAGAGTTACAGTGAAGACAGTCATGTAACTTTTGGTTATGAGAGCTATGACGGAGAACAAGGTATCTAGACTTGATTTCAACTCCCAGATCCTTGGTGTATACTTCGAACTCTTAATCTAGTTTACTTGTTGGGCATACAAGATCCTTTTCATTAATTGAACATGAAAAAGATAATTCATAAGTTCCACTCAACAACCATAAAATCCTGCAACACGCTGTTGAAAGTGAAAAGTGCTTATGATTGTTATTGCCTCTCTTTGTCCACCTATATACAGGCTTTCCAGGAGATCTTTCTGTCTCTGTAACCTACATGATAATTGAAACAAACAAGCTGGGTGTGAAAATGGAAGCCGAGGCCCTAAACAAGGCCACTCCAGTGAACCTAGCCCTGCACACCTACTGGAATCTTGGTGGCCACAACAGTGGTGACATCCTCTCACACACTATCCAACTATTCGGTTCCAAGATCACTCAAGTCGATGAACATCTCATACCCACCGGCGGAATCCTGGACATTGAAGGATCGCCATATGACTTCCTCCAACCACGCCAAATCGGAAGCAGAATAAACAAGCTACCCCATGGATATGACATTAACTACGTGCTCGACAACATGGGACACAGACATCTAAAGAAGGTTGCGGTTGTCGAGGACAGCATAACAGGAAGAAAAATGGAGCTATGGAGTAATCAGCCTGGAGTGCAATTCTACACGGCTAATTATCTGGAGAATGAGAGAGGAAAAGGTGGGTTTGTTTATTCTAGTCATGCAGGTCTTTGCTTGGAGACACAGGGATTCCCAGACTCTGTGAATCACCCAAATTTTCCTTCACAGATCATTAGCCCCGGACAGACTTATGAACATATAATGGTTTTTCGATTCACGGCAAAGTAAAAGATCAAGACAAGCAGAGAAGGAACAGTTTGAATACTTGAAATGTCTATTACATTCTAGCTGAGTCTAAGGGGAAAGAGAAAATTGATTTATGTTTTGTATTGAATAAGATATGCAGCAAAATTCCATAGGAGATCAGTAATCAAATCTAGTTTGTTTCAAGTAGCTAATGGTTGACCCAACAAGCATTTTAAATGCCATGTTCATTTATCAATACACCCACTTTGGCATCCCCCTAAGTATGACCCATCAGTCAGGATTGAACTTGAAAAATATATTGCAACTAACCAAAGCAGTTGCTGAGCATCAGTTTATCAATGCAGAAACCAATTGCCAGATCAACTGCGAGCACATCTATCGGAACATGGCATTGACGACAATCAAAAGAGAGTTCATTAAAAAGTATTCTGCTCAAACGAAAATTGTTCACCAAACTCTAACATGAGAGGTACATGTACAAGAAATTCGATTAAAAAATATCACGAGCTATCTAAATTACGAAAAATTCCAAAAAGCAAGTCCATCAGTCATTTGACAGTGATAAAGATGTATAAGCTAGGATTGCTTCAACAAAATAAGCATGACAGAATTTCTGGTGTTACAGTCAAAGCTATAAGTACGTAAAATGGCGGTCAATGAGCAGTCGTCGTAGTGGTCTTCTTAAAGTCAATCTTATCGACCTTAACCTCCCCATCAATGAGTTCATAAACATAGACCACCACGCGCAGGCCATCAATATCCATGAGTACAAAGCTAGGATTCACGTCGTAAGTGATGCTGCTGTATGCACCAGTAGCAGAACCTGGGTTTATCACAACCCCTCCCTCATGCTTGTAGGCAGTGAACTGGTGGGTGTGACCCGTCACAAGGATATCAACGTCCAGCTGCCTCTGGAGCATGGCTAGAGAGTCCAGATCTCCCCAAGGAATAACCTACAAAGCACCGTAGGAGAGGGAGTGAGATAATTAAGATCAATACAAGAAACTTTGGTGTCAACTAAAGAAGACACTTCTCTTTTATTTGGGCTCCGATTTCCAAGTGCCTTTCAAACTAATATAGCACTATGAAACAAGAACAGGAAGCGGAATTGACTTTGATCACTAGCGAGCAGCAATTATGCTCCATGATAGGGCGGAGATAGGTTCTGCGGAATGTCTTTCGAGGAGCAAGGAAGTTAGATGAGGACTTCCTACCATGCACTGTGACTTGTAAAGCTATTTGTCCATATCATTCTTAGCTAGCAATAAATTCACCAGATTAATGTACTTTTTGTCAAAACAAGTTTAGATAGCTTCTGCACTTGCCAACTTAAGCTTAAGTTTCTCAGGGACAATCAGTCTAGAAAAGCAGTGAAATATCAACAACTTCTTGATGATTAATCTAGCATCATAATCCCTTAAGCATTCTAAACTTTACTGCTTGAACCATCTCTTCTCTGGTTTCATGCCACCCATCAGTTTTGCAATCGGTTGCATCGTTAGTGGTTGAATATCGATTAATGAAAAAGTTCAGCCCCCAGGAACTAACACTTTCGGATTGCAGAATAAAAAAATCAAAAGAAAAAATCTTTGGGCTTTCAAAACAGAAGCACAGATAGAGCAAAATAATAGAAGCATCCAACCTGATGACCATGGCAAAGTCCAAGCTTGAATTGGCCAATAGTTAATGTCTTAGTCTCTGGATATCGAGTTTCCTCATCATACTCGCCTCTAGTAATATGCAGGTCCGGGCAGAGAGTTTTCAGGTAATCATGAACTTCCTGAAACACATTTCAGAGAGCAAATTTCAGCCGGTAACAATAAAGTGTGCCCAGATAAGACAAGTAATGGAAAAATGATTTGCCCATGTTCCAACTCTAGACAGAGACCGCAAAAAAAATGTCAAGATCAGGCTAAGAAATTGTGAATGCACCATTTGAAAAGGTAAAAGTAAGTAATAGGAAACTCATATAATGACACAAGCTATTATTATGACAATGCAAATGCCAGAATTCTCATAGACAGCAACAACCAGGATTTCCAACAAATTGGAGAATTAATGAAAGAAGGAACACCAACTCAGCCAAGCATTCACATCTGAGGGAAAATGGTTGTTCTATTCTAAATGGGTTTACTGACCGCATATACCAAGCTATTGATCGAGAAGGTACTTCTTAAGCTTCATTCAAGATCAAGGCAGCTCAATAACATATTTCTAGAATCCCAAGTCTTCATTTCCATAACCAAGCTACAACATACTAGAATTTCAGGCTGCTACAGCTGATCTAAGTTCCCTCTAATTCATACACCACCAAAAAAAGCAAGGCACATGGTACTTCTTAAGCTGATCGAGAAGGTACTTCTTAAGCTTCATTCAAGATCAAGGCAGCTCAATAACATATTTCTAGAATCCCGAGTCTTCATTTCCATAATCAAGCTACAACATACTAGAATTTCAGGCTGCTACAGCTGATCTAAGTTCCCTCTAATTCATATACCACCAAAAACGCAAGGCACATGGTAACTTGGCAGTCGCTCTTTCCGAAAGACAAAATCCTTCATCATAGACATTCTGCATGCAAGAATCCTTCATACTACAGGCAGCACCTAAGACCGTTCTTTCCAAAGTGTTATTTTATTAGAATTCAGTGGAAACAATGGAGGACATGACAGACAAGACACGTTCCTATCATATAGCATGCCCAACAGAGCTCTACTTGCAACTCGCAGGTAAGTGAACTGTCATTTGCAACACAAGCAAGAAACCTTGACACAGCAACTGCACAGCAAAAGTGACGAAGAACATTGTCAATTTCCACAAATCAAAGAAATTTGCAGGACAACCGGTAATCGCACAATGAGGCACTTAAGGTCAGCAATCTAAAAGCCTCCTCTCTCAGAAAAAAGGCTGAACCCCAGAGTGCCAAGAATATACCAATCTAGCGATTCAAACAAAACTTTCGACTGCATCCATGAGCCGCAAGGTAAGGCCCCATAAGTGAGGCCAAAAATAAGGAAAGGAAAAATCACCAACAGAACAATGCTTGTAACCCCCAACCGCCCCTCCCAAAACAAAAAATCCCCACAATACGCTAGAGGGATAGACTAAAATGACATCAAATGAAAACAACAGTGAATCAAAAAATGCCATCGCTACATCACCTCATGGGAGCTGCAGCCAAAAACGAAAAAGAAAACAAAGACAGCATCGACCAAGCAATGCGAAATTGCTAAAAGAAATCCAAATAAGATCACGATCGCAAATGGGTCGGGGAATTCAATCCACAACAACAACAACAACAACAACAAGAGAAGGAGAAAGGGACCCACTTTGATGCATAAATTGCCGGTGCAGATGATGTGCTGGATCTTGCCAGGGACGAGCATCGACTTGAACTTGGCGGGCAGATCAGGCGCCCTGTGCGGTATGTGCAGATCCCCCAATGCCAACACCAACACCATCTTCCTTGTTCTCGCTACTCTCTATCGATCACAACGACGACGATTAGAAAAAGGGTCAACGAACAAAACAAGAAAAGGTAATATTTCGACACCCAGAGACGATCCTTTCTCTTTCTCTTTCTCCCTCGATCGAGCTTCAACAATCAATCTCTCTTCTTCTTCTCCCCTTAACGCAGCGCATAAAGTTCAGATTGCGCAAGTGGGTAACAGTAATGAAAACTAACAAGGGTTTTGCGAAGAGAGAGAGAGACGTTGACTCGGACATACCCTGGAACCGCAGCGGACATGGAAGACCCTCCTCCGTCCCTCGTTCTTGTCGTGCTCTGAACCTTCTCCCTTTCTCCTTAGGTTCGTTTCTTTCCTTTGCCTCCTTTGGTTTTTTTCACCGTCGCGAATGTATGAAACAGTGGCTTATTTTGTACGCGATACGACGTCGTGAGCCTCTGATTTTTCCTTAGATAAGTTTGCAAGAAGTCTTGAAACTTATCACGAATTTGCAATTGACTCGTCAGACTTACAAAAAGTTTGATCAAGTCCAAAAAGAATGTAATTTTTTTATTATTTTAGTATTTTTCTGATGTAGTGCCACATCATCGCCAATTGTCTTCAGAAAGTAATAAAACAAGACATGTCAGCATTTTTCGTTAATCGAGTTAGACGGAATTAACGAAATGAATCGATTGAACCAATTTGAGAAGTTTTAGGACTTGATTGAACTTTTTGCAAGATTTAGGACTCAATTGTACTTTCGTAACAAGTTTTAGGACTTTCAGCGCACATATCCTATTTTTTCCTTAACGAAAAGTAAAAAATAAGTTCCTCCTTTCTTACTAAAACTCCAAATGTTACTCAAATTTTCGAACATTTTATTGGGAAAAAAAAAATCACCTCACATGCGAATATTTATATATTGTAAAAAGTGTAAAATCATTATTTCACAGTAAGCAAAAAAAAAAAAACAATATATACGCGTCGTGAGGATTAAAAACTTATAAATAAAAGTCATTTCTAAATTTTTCCAAGGTGCACATGTCTTATAGTATTATTCATCTTTTTATTGCGTAATGCATCATAGTGTTTCTGCGAATAAAGATATACTGACAGCTGAAATGTGATTTGGAGTATAACATCAGAAGACAAACGAACCCCAAATATTTAAATTCTCATGGAAATTGGATGAAGTGAAGTCTAGCTCTAGTTCCGCCCCAATTCAAAATTTCCCCTCTTACAATTCTTGAATCGTTACAGAACAAAAGCTTCCATATGCTGATCAGAGTACAGGATATAGAGAATAGGAAGGATGTACATTGCTGTCAAGTGTGTGCAGTACAAAAGAATCTGCCGTGGCACTTCATTGACGAGGCGATCTCATAGCGGATTGTGGGGTTCTTGGCGTTATCAACGGGGATGATCCCCTCGGGGTCCTGACAGCCGGCGAAGGGCAGTCGCGTTGCAACGGAGACTTCAGTCCTGGAGATGACGCGCCGAACTGCTGCTCCTGTCTAGCAGGAGCCGTCAACTCTTTGGGCACCGGGATCTTCTCTAGTCTTGCCAGGACCTCAGTCATTGAAGGTCGACGTTTGGCATCGCCAATACACTCGAAGGCAAGGAATGCGGCCATAAATGCTCCTTTGTGAGGATACTGCCCCTCCATTTTCACATCCATTATGCGGTATAGCTTCCGCTTATCGCTTAAATATGGTTTAGCCCAATCCACAAGATTTTGCTCCACACCGACTTTTGATTTATCGACAGCGCGACGTCCTGAGAGCAACTCCAGCAGCACAACCCCGAAGCTATACACATCACACCGCGAAGTCAACCGCCCTGTTCAACAGAAACAGTGTGTATCAGGACACAGAGAACAAGAAAAGTTTCCCAGAACAGGAATCGAGCATTTCCGTTCAGTGAAAAAACCATTCATCCCTCATTCTTTCCAAGTTCCAAACTTTGGTATTGATGCCATGTATGGTACAAGAAATGCCTCATAGGCCATGTTTGGCTTGTGGAATTAGAGTGATGAATGATGTTATCAACCACTTCAAGAATTTGATAAACAAGGATTTGCTAGTGCATGCAATTCAAATGAAATGCATCAGCATGGTTGCACTTTTGAATCTAGTTCAGTAAAAATCCAATCGCCATCCATGTTTGGATACCACAAAACCCTAGGTCAATTCAGATCTCATACTTTCTTCGGCAGTGATAGATATGCTAATGCCATTTAAATCAGCAACTGTAAATAATTCTGGTAGAATCATCCCGGTGATAAAGGAGGAATGGCCATTCAAAACCTAGGTTTGACTTCCAAGTATTTGCATATTGATGCCATTAAAGAACTAATGCCAAAAAAATAACCTATCTTCTGGATTTAGTTAAAGTATCAGTTCCCGATGATTCATTAGTAAAGGATTACCTCACGAATATTATAAAAGACCATGCCAATCGCACCTGTTGCTATATATTCGGGAGCAGCATAACCTTGAGTACCCATCACTTGAGTCGAAACATGAGTCCGATCGCCGGTGGGGCCTGCCTTTGCCAAGCCAAAGTCTGAAAGTTTTGCATTATATTCCTGCATCATTGACAATGAACATATGTGCAGAACCAATTTAGCCTATAGAACAGAAAAGAAGCAGATTTCTTAATTTCAAAATAGGTGGATTGTTTACGCACATGCACTCAAGCATATGCACAAGCACAAGTGCGCATGCGCGCCGACATGTACAAAAAAATAGATAGACAGAATCTCTCCATTTGATATGTAGTTCATTGGCAGTTGCTATTCTTTTGAGCACACGTACCGAATCCAGAAGAATATTGGAAGCCTTGAAATCACGGTATATGACTTGTTGCTCTGACTCGTGAAGGAAGGAGAGCCCCCGAGCAGCACCTATAGCAACTTTGATTCTTATTGCCCAGGAAAGTGGCTGGACACCCCCTGCATTCACATATTTAACTCGATGAGCTCAAATACATCCCCTTTTGCTGAGCAAGAGTTGAAGTACCAAAACCATCGACTCACTCCGGAAAAGATGATTTTCGAGACTTCCCCTGGGCATATACTCATACACTAGAAGCCGATTATCACCATCCAAGCAGTACCCGATAAGTTTGACCAGATTTGGATGATGAAGTTGACCAAGGTAATTCACTTCTGCCTGCAGCCAGCAGGCAACAACAGTGCTTAGAGTTTTCCAAAGAGAAAACCTAATCCAATAAAAGAACTTACCAACCACTCTTTGTGACCCTGAAAACCCTCTGGCTTAAGCTTCTTGATAGCAACAACCATTCCACATCCTGGCCTTGCAGGACCGAGGGTTTGCACATCAATCCACCCTTTGTACACGCAACCGAAGCCCCCTTCTCCAATAAGGCTATCTTTACGGAAGTTTCTCGTGGCGTTCTTAAGCTCGCTGTATGTGAAAGCTTTTAAATGCGGAGATGATAGTATGTCACCTTCCGATCTCGGAGTGGGGAGACTTACAGGTCTGCACATTTCACCTCGAGGTTGAACACTTGGACTCAAAGCAGTTGAAGAGTGGATACTGCTCTGAGTAAGTTTTAAACCTCCTGAAAGAAGAATCTTTGTTACTATTCAAAGAGTTGAAAGCAGGCACAATAAAAATGTAAATCCATTCACCCAGTGACACACTACAGCTTCAAGACTCCTTTGTTGGATAATTCACTCATAAATGAGTGCAGATCCCCAAAAGAAGAGATGCAACTAAAGGAAAAGATGAAAAGAACGAACCCAAAGGTCCAAAACACCAAGTCTTATTCCAGTGACTTCTTCCAACTTTTGGCAATAAGCAGTCAATGCATCTGAGCGATTGCTAGCAAGAGAAGCAAATTTTTTGTTTGTATTAAAAATTTGCAGTCGATGCCTAAACTTTGGTTCTAACAGAAAGCATCAACTTATCCATAATACTACTGCAAGGTAAAGTCTTTCTTTCTCGGACTGAATGATAGCTATATGCCTGACGCAGACTTCCATGTCCATGCCTGAGCATGCGCAGCCCTAGGTCAATGAGAAGGTGACTCTGTATTTGTTCTAGTTGGCCAAGCACCCCCATTTTTTGTAGACAGAACTGACTCTGGCTCCGGGGACAATCAGCGTGTATATTGGGAATTTGCACTCCGAAAATAAAACCGCCGGTTTAAAACATTTCTTTGTATGGAAGTACCAAAATCAACTCCAACATAAATGGAATAGCTAATTTCGTTGGAAAGTCATAAATCAGTAGATTATTTGCCTATCAAGCCATCTATTAATTCAGATCAATCCGAAAAAAATAAGGAGGAATCACAGAACACGAGTAACAACTAAACTCTTTCCATATACCAAAATAGCTGCTATAAACAAGAGTTGCCATAAATAGCTGCTAGCTTTTCAGTTGTCAAAAAGTTACAAAACTGAATCTACAAAATCAATCTCATGATCTCCCGAAGCACTCTCAGCCATTTTCCTTTTTTGAGAAGCAAGATAAATGATCTCGTCACCTACAACTATTATTTCCTCCGTTTCCATACTCATCGACACCTCGTGCCCTTATAGGTGCTTCAACGGGGTTATACAACATAGTACAAACAATAGTATCTAACACCACTCTATGAAACAAAAAGTCAACCAATTCACCAATACTGCCACCATTATCATCGCATCCTCAAGAAGCATGGATGCGGGGGAGGGCACCTCCAAGCACCATGCGGCTATCTCGGGCAATCACTCTATAAACATCCACAAGTCAAATCAACAAACTGAAATCCTGTTTCTAACTGATCGAGTCATTCCAAGCTAAAAATTTACAAAAAAAAATTGAGTAATTACTTGAAAAAATTCCTCTTTATGAGCCAAATAGTGACAAACCAAGTATTATCAACTTGTTTTGACTTCATAACAGTCCCAGCCTACCATAAAAGTCAGATTTTATATCCATTCTTGTCAAATGAATTTGCAATTGATTTTTAGCTCTCACCGAGACCACCTTAGAGGTTGAGAGTAGAACAAATTCAATGGAGCAAAATACGAATCCATGAGCGGGACTCAGAAGGTTCAACAAATATCGATAAGTGACTTCATGGGAAGAGTGCGAAGCTCTATTCAATTCTCTAATCACTAGCAAGCTGCTTGAAATCCAACTACATACTGAATATTCTTGCAGCTGCATCACTTGAATGAAGCATAATGTCTCGCCGATGGACCAAGTGATGCTGACTACGGACCAGTAAATCTCCTACAAACATCTAAGTCCCACCCAACAGATAAAATGTGATGATAACCATCCATCCACCGGAAATAGTTCACATGTCAAGCCAAAGGACGTTATAAATGCACATGAAAAGCAATGCTTAACAATCACAACCAAACCCATAGTGGCGATAATAGTCCACATGGAAAAAGCACAAGGACAGCCAACAGCTTTGCGAAACTTGCCGCTCTGCTCTTACTTTCCATCCATTTTAAAGCATGGAGACTTTCAAGCACAAAATTACCCAAACTCTCCAAAGCATTCAGCATTCTTGGACAATAAGCACTTGATATTCGATAATCGATACGGTCATGTTCATTGAAGTAGACCAGAGCGTACAAGCACAGCAAGTTTCTAAATCCATGTCGGGACGTCATCAAGATTTCAAACACCAGCCCTGTTTCAGCGACTAAAGAAACGAACGTTGGCCGAAGCGTTCGAGTGTCTTCGAAAATTGCATTGTGCTGGAAAACACCAATACACCGGAACAACAAAAGATAGATCCAGGAACAAGCAAAACAACAACTTCAGAAAAAAAAAAGAAAAAAAAACAATGAAGTCCAAAACCCAAGTTCCTATCGAATCGTTGATGAGAAGAGAGTGAAAAGGAAAGAAACCCAGAGCAAGAAACAGAAGCAAAACAACAGAAACGACCAAAAAGACAAACCATTTCCGGAGCAAGTATCTTGGGAACCAAGAATGAGCTGAAAAAGAAGCGAAGCAAGCCCAGTGGCGCTTCACGTGAATACCCCAAACAACTCGGGCGGAGGATGAATTACCGGAGGTGGTAGTAAGCGACGTCTCCGACTTCTCTTCCTTCTTGCGGGAGCCGCAACAATTGCCCATTTGCCAATCTCGTATCCTCCCCCCACCTCAAAATCTTTTTCTTACAAAGAGAAATAAAAAAAACAAGAATCTCTGACCCCGAAAGAGCTAACGAAAGAGAACGAACACGACCATGAGACATCTACTTCCCAAATGGGATTTCGGTAAAGGTTGATGTCGATGTCGATGTCTCTCTCCTTCTCTCGCTCGCCTCCATGGCTCTTCTCCAGCTTCGGAGAAGAACGGAACGCGACGAAGAAGACAGAGAGAGAGAGAGAGAAACAGAATTTTCTATTCCTCCTTCTTTTTTCCCTTTCACATCATTAAATTTTTTTTTTGTCCCCCCTTTTTTTTTTGATGTTTTGTTTTTGTGGAAAACAAGGAAAATGACGTGGAGCAAAAGGACAAAAAGCCCAACGTGTAGCGACGTGCGCGCAACGCGGGGGAGCAGCCGTCCATCCAAAGACGGAACGAATGACCCCCCCGTTTTTTGCTACTATTTACGAGATGAGCCACGGGGCCCGGTCGTAAATAAGCCGTTCTTCCGTGGTCGAGGAAGCCAGCCGGTTCGGGCGACGAGACGATTTTGGCCCCTCGGTAGTCCACGTGGCGGGCACGAGCCTGGGGATCTGGGGGAGGGGGCAATTTGGACCATTCCAGTGGGAGCGGGACGAGCAAAGTTATTGCGTGATTCTGAGTGCAACCTCGCTTTTTTATTATTATTATTATTATTATTATTAGAACCATTATCCGTACATTTCCGTTGACTTGTTCGATGGGATCAACACTAATGATTCTCGCGCAAATGCATCAAATAAGACCCACTCTCGTAAAATGACAACTATTACCGTCAAGGAACATATTTCGCACATTAATTCCATGATCATCGTGATCTTGTGTGAGTTCGAACTAACTCCCACCCTGCATTTCAAATCAACTCATCTCCTGTCGATTGCATTTGCTCGACGAAGTGATTAGTGATCTGTCCCTTTGAACCTCATGAGACTAGAGATATTAGATCGTTTGTGGGTGATCGTTGCGTGTAAACAAGCGCCCCACCATTTAACGTGATCAACCCCACTTACTTTAGACATAAAATTTAGGAATGACGACACAAATTATCCATGAATTTTAACCCAATATATAATATGGTCCCTGAACTTTTAATTTGATCAATGTGTTCCCTAAAATTTTGGTACATGTTCAATGTAATCCACGAACCATATAAAGATGTTCAATATTGTCGTTTCATTAATTCAAGTTTAGGGACAATATTGAACAATTTCAAATAGTCTAGGGATCACATCAAACAAATTAAAATTTCAGAAACGACATTGTAAATTGGGCTAAAGTTCAAAAATTACTTTAAATTAATTAAAAATTAATGAATCATATTACACATCGAGTCAAAACTCAGTGATAACGATCAAAATATCGATCAAGTGCACGCAATCGAGCCATGGACACGTCCATTTTCGGAAGAGCATGTCGAAGGGGAAGTAATTGTTTGGATATGAGTCCCACGAGATCGGGATTTCCATGGTCGTCGATCATGCTTGACTCCACATAGTCACGTGATCGACGGACGAGCTTGAATCCGGCTTCATCCACGGATGGAAAAGGGGAGGGGGGGAGCCGATCACGAGCGAACGCGCAACCGTAGCGCCACGTGGCGTGGCGGGCGTATCGCGTGGGCATGCCACGTCATCTGGGGTCACGCGCAAAACGAGATACTTCCCCCGAGGCCCGCGTAGGAAATATCCTCGATGGAAAGGAAAGAGGGAGGGAGGCGAAGGTGACGTTAACGTGACGGGGGGGGTGAAACAAACTCGGCAATGCGCGGACGCCACGTGCGCTCGTTCCGTCATCCTGCGGGACCCACTCCGGCGTCACGGCCAGCGTTTCGGTTTCGGGACCGCGGACAACAAATTCTATGTACAGCTGCCAGCCTGCCATAGTTCTTCAATATAACTAAAATTCGCTATAGCCTTCTCTCTCTCTCTCTTTATTTTTTTTTTTCTTTTTTCCCTTTAATTGGTTGCAACTAAACCCGCCAAACGGATGGATTAGGTTAAAAATAGTCCAACTCAAATGGATAAATTTTAATGTATTACAAATTTAGCAACACATATCCGACTCGACCCATATTACGAAAACAATTCTATAATTAACTCAATTTAAGAAAATTTATACCTAAACTGAGGTGAAAGCGCGAGATCGAGTGAGGGCAAGAGAGAGTAAAGAGAGAGTCATAGAAGTGAACTGGATCTAAGTAAATTGAGAACCCATTCAACACCCATATAATTTTGGGTCTTACCATTGTAAACTCATTTATAATCCATTTACTCAATATAAATAACTCATATCACAACTCAGCCTATCAAATATGTGTTAGGTCCATGACCCATTTTGACAGGACTAGTTGCAACGCCAGCCTATAAGAGCTATGCTAGTTCAAATGAATTTTCGAACGATTGAAAACTTCGGTAAAATTTTGAGAACCATAGCTTTTTAATTCCATTAATGTCGCGAAGCCCATTCCACGAATAAGAGAGCACCTTCTCCTAAACGTCGATAAACAAAACAATCATGCAAAAGAAACATTACCTCGTACAAGAACTTATCCCGAATCGACGATGTCGATAATCGTGGGGAAATCAAATGTGGATTCCTCACTAATTGTAATTTGCTTGTAGTAGTAAGAATTATTTCATGTCGCCCTGTACTCTAAAGATAGAAAACAATGCTCTAATAATTGAGATTACTAAAGTCGTAAATACTAAGGAAGCACACGAGACGATGGGGTCAACATCAAGAGAGCGACAAGTCTTATCTTGACCACCCTGTGTTCTCTTCCGTGGTTCTTAGAAATTCCTCGTACATCGACATCTATTGATAATAAATGCAGCGCTTTTCATAGGGACGTGACATTTGAGACCAAAAGAAAGGGTATTGGGCGAATCTCCAAACAAGACTTTTTAGTGCTCAAATCTTAGGGCATGCTATGTGATGCACGGGATTTAGCTTTATCAAATGATGTTGTACCGCAGCTTCAAATGAGAAGCGCGAACACTATCATCTTCGAAGATGAGCCGCGGGACCTCAAGACGACACGGCGATGGGGTCGATCCACCACAAGCCACGCAACGAAACCCATGGTCAGATCTCCCCGGGGCCACGCAACCCCGGGTCATGTGATGCTACGCCATTCTATGCTTCGTTGTGCAAGTCCATGGACTTGCGGTTGAGACATGTGCGAAGCAAAAGGGTTGGCATATTGTAAATAACGATACAGATACTTTATGATTGCTCCGCCGAGTTTGGTAACCTCTTAGTCCTTTGGTCAATTGTTTGCGAAGTCACAAGTACATAGATATGACGACTCTTTGAAATTGTGGAAAAAACTTAGTCAATTCGAGCGTGCTTTTTTTTTAAGGTGTTTGAAAAAGAAGTAAGATGTGAAAAAGTAATAACACCTACATATATGAAGTCAAATGTCATTGTCATTATTGTATAAAAGCATTTTAAACATCACTAATTATGATGGATAAATTATTCATTTTTTTTTCAGCAGAAAGAGTAAGAGGATTTCAATTCATTTTAGAGAAATAGGTAACTGATCATTGTCGAAGTAAAGACAAAAGAGATATAAAAAAAAACAATCTTTCTCAAAAGGAACTGAATCTAATTAGTACGTAGAACTATCTTAATGTATTCCATTGATAGCGAAATCCGGACTCCATCAGTGGTGGATGGTATAATAACTCTTTTTTTATGTTTTTACTTTTTTTCTTTTTCTTTCTTTTCCTTTTCCCTTTTTTTTTCTCTATCAAGTCCGACAAGGGTCGGTTGGCCCTCACCGGTGACTGACAGGTTTGGAAGAAGAAAAATAAAATGAAAGAAAAAAATGAAAAATAAAAAACTAGAAAAGATATTAAAATAATACAAAATAATTATCCATGTCAGTGTCGGTCAGTGTCCATGTCAGCGATTTTCAACTAAAATTTTCCGAATGGACTCAATTACCAAAATGAAAAAAATTTAGTATTGAATTGGTAAAAACGCGATAAATTTATAAATTTTTTTGGATAATTTTTCTCCCGTTTGACCATGATCTGGTGGCAAAACTTCACGTTGAACCGATGGAGTACAAACACAAAGCAATCAAAACCCGCGGTTCGCCGCACCACGTTATGACCACCGGAAGAGGGGGGGGAGAGGACTCGAGCCATCCGACGATCCGTGGCTAATCTCCATGGCGAAACGTCGAGGAATGCGCAGCAGAGACAGAGACCCAAAAGAAGGGTTGATCTTTTGGAAACGCGAGACTCTCCGATGCGTCATCGGAAAGCTACGTTTCCGATTCCCTCTCCTTTTTCTTCGCCAATACGAGGAGGGTTCACACGTGCTTCCAATCCTCGTTTTTGCAGTTGCGGGCGACTTTCGGATTTGATGTGGAATATATTCATATAAATCTGCTAAAAAGTCGGAGTTGTTAAGGGGGGAAAGCAGCAGATGTTGTCGTGACAAAAGAGATCATTGGATCACGTGTCTTCGTCGAAAAGTTATTAGTAGATAAAGCCAATTTAAAGGGGTGAAATAACCATTTTTTCAGACTTTTATCATTTGCGTGGAAATCGGAACCCACTAAATATTTCCATTCCCCTAATCCCCTGAAAAGGTGGGAAATCGAGCTCCCTACCTCCGCCTTCTCACGTAGAAATGGTGACTACCGGGACAAATTCTGTGGTTTGGGAAAATAATCATCACCTTCTTTATAATGCCTTTCTTGAGCTTGCTTCGATCCATTTTTTTGACCCCCCACAAAAGGAAAAAGAAAAATGTGAATATTTTAAAATCTTCAAGAAAGAGGGAATCAATTGACTTGACTTATTAGAATCAAGGGTATTTATACCCAAACAATACGTATAAGAAAGGAAATTATCTAATCTAAGAAAGAAATTAGCTATCTTAGAAAATAACGAAATATCAAATGATATCTCTAATAGGGGTGTCAAAACCAAACACGATACCCGAATCGAAACACGAACCAACCCGACCCGAACACGAAAATTTTCTTATTGGGTCGGGTTAGATCTCAACTTGTTTTGGTAACAATAAAAAGAATTGGGTATTGTTTGGATCTATTGGGCTTGGGTACCCCAAGCCCAACCCAAACAATAACCAAAACCCTATACCACTTCAAATGCACTTCGTCCACTTCGTCCACCTCGACCGCCTCCTCCTCGCCCCCGACTCCCCCGCGCCTCCGACCTCCGCCCCCTCCCCCTCCTCGGCCGCCACCCCTTCCTCGGCTCCCCCGAGCCCCTCGTCGCCCGCCTCTCCCCCTCCCGCCGCGACTTCGTCATCCAGCTCGCCTCCTCCGATTTCGACCTCTCTGCAGACCCTATCGCCGCCCTACCGCGAGAACGCACGCCATCTCCACCGCACTCAGAAGAGAATCGCAAAAACTCAAAAGGCCTACCGAGTCAAAAGCCGGAGGAAGCGAGCGACCGGCGAGGACCAGATCCAACACTCGAAACCTACAGGCGACGCGAGTGAGCGGCGGACACCGCCGTCGCCGGCGGACGCGCGGCCCCCTACGCATGCGGACACATACAGAAGCATACGTACAGATCATGGAGAGCGAGAGAAACCACGTGCGAGATAGAGAGAGAGAGAGACGGGGAGAGGGGAGGGAGGGGGGAGGAAGGGAAGCGAACCATCGCTGTCCTTGTCGAACAAGCTGAAGGCCTCCTTGAACTCGGAGATCTGGTCGTCGGTGAGCTGATCCGCCATCTCAAAACCTTCCTCCCTCCCTCCTCGTCCTCCTTCTGAAATGCGAATAGCGAACGGAGATCGCGAAACAGAGGAGAGAGAAAGAGAGCGCTAGAGAGAGAGGGGGGGTGGGAAGAGCTTTCGTGAATCTTACGAAGAAGACGAGACTGAAGGCGATGCCTGCGGCGGCGGTGGTGGCGGGCTCGTCGACGACGCGGAGTCCTCCTGCTGCAGCAGCAACGATGCTGGGACGACGGGCGCAGAAGGCGGCGATGCCGCGGCGGCGGTTGAATCGCTGAGGCTTCATTGTTTGAAACACAAAACCCGCCCCGACCCGCCCCGATATGACCCGGCCCGATCGTGTAGCTTTATCTTGTTCGGGTCTTGTCTCGGGTCGGGTCGAACACATATGCCCAATATTTGGGTCGGGTCGGGTATCATGAAAACCCGACCCGACCCATTGACACCCCTAATCTCTAATATCTGATAATATCTCTAACAATATTCTCCGATAGAGAATTTTCTACTATTCATAAATATACTTTAACGGAAAACATTGAAATATTTTGTTCGTCTTTGCTTCTTTCTTTTTTGTGTCTTTGAAATGGTTGTTTGTCTAAGGATGCCGAGCAGAGACATAGAGTGTAAGTAGTGAAATTGGAGAAACCGTGACGCACTTGGAAAACAACATGTTCTTTTTTTGCCCCACGTTGGGCTTTGGCCTCTAGCCCAGTTCAGAAGGCAAGGGCCCAAAAAGATATGGACCTACAGCCCAAAACGAAAGCCCAAAACGATCGTGTCGTCGACACGCATGGACCGTGCACTAAGATCGATCCTAATGTTTCTGCTATCATCATCTGACCCCCTCTCCTAATTGCTGCTCCCAAGTTGTCATTATTTGTAGATGTGAGCATGGTTCAGGTTGGGCCAGTCCAACACCTAACCCAAGGACCAACCTATACATTGTTGGTCCCCAATCTTTTGAACCGAGGACCGACCATATTGAGCTTGGGAGCGAGGACTGGACCGGCCCTATGGGTCCGATCTCGTTTCAGGGTCAATTCATGATCAGCTGATTATTATTATTTTTTTGTTTCATTTTTTGTATTCCTTGAAAGGATAAACATACTATTTCAAATGTTTTTGTGTACGGTTATTCCACTTGTAATTTGCGTGTTGAAAAGTCAATATATCTCTTACCTTACCAAAAAAAAAAACATACTATTTCAAATTACATATCCATCAATAATGCAATATTGAGCAACCAAATTATAAACACAAGTATATATCAAACATAAATATAAGATAAGGTAAGAATATAAATTTCACACTTGCTTAAAGAAACAAATCATGAAAACGAACGCGTGAAATACAATCAATCCATAAAAAGTTCAAAATACGTAATATAAATCATGAATTATACAACTTCAAATCTTGTTCATTGTTAAATGATTGCTTCAACTTCTGAATACCTGAAAACAAAACAAACAACACACATAATTAATACATAACAAAGTATATTTGTCCTACTAAGCTGTGCTAGTAAGGCGAGCGGTGAGGCCAGTGAACAGTGGTGAGTGAGGCAAGCAAAGAGAGACAAATGGTGAATGAGGTGAGCCAAGCGAGAGGCCGAGGCAGGCAAAGCAAGGCCAAGGTGAGCAAATAGAGCAAAGCAAGCGAAGAGGGTTTCTATTTTTTTTTGGTCGAATTAGGGTTGGGTTTTTTTCTACTTTTTAATTTACACGGCAAAACGAACTGCATTAGAAAGAAAAGAACAAAGGAGGAGGCGATAGGGTTTAGAGTAGACAAAAGCATATAATATGTAGTATCTAACATGCACAGTGTAGGGTTCAGGAGTTCCAGGTTCAAGGATTGACCCGGTCCCACTTAGGAACTAGACCGGGACTGGCCCACTCGATCGGTCCAGGGTCGGTCCAGGGTTGACTTTGGACCGATGCTCACTCCTAATTATTCAAGGGGCAATTACAAAAAAAAAAATCTCATGAATTGTGGCGAGAGTATGCCTTTACACTTGGAAATTATTACGCGATGTCCCAGAAGTAAAAATTTTCGTCACAAAATGCAAAAGTAACCGTATGTTTCGAGCTTTTAATTGGTCAATAAGCATTTCGGCACGAACCCACAGTGAGACTTCGCTTTGACAGACTTGAAAAAAGGGACGACAATATTCCGTCATTGGTTATAATGACTTCGCTTTGACAGACTTGAAAGCATTCCTTCACGCGACAGTGCCGAAGCTTGTGATGTAATTGCATCTCTCCAAAGACTCTTAAAAATCTTGTCAAACGTCATTTGCATTTGCCCAAGGGACTTTAGAGCCCTAACGTGCTTTGCAAATGCTGAACCAAATGCACCCAAAGTCGAATTTCGACGACAAAGGGTTTGTGTCCCAGCTTTACAAGGCCTTTTCTTTATAGTCATTTTATTTTTATTTATTACGAAATCAAGACAGAAGAGAGATTTGCTTTCGAAAGAACGAGATGAAGTACACTCTGACCCTTTGAAAAGTCGCATGCATTGCACAGGCTAACTGAAATTACAACGCCGGGCTAGCGACCCTAACAAAATGAAAGTTTAAGAGGGTAATTTGTAATGCTCGAAAGATTAGGGACAAACGCGCATCACCCTCCAAGTTCAAGCGACGAGAAGAGGCTCCTCTTTGTATAAAATATGTCCCCCATGCACTCGCACGCCCTCACATCTTTTCTTCCTTTTCTATTCTTCCTTTGGTTTAGTGTGAAAATATGAAAGATTTATTCATGAAGGATAAAGAGTCAGACAACAACTGCTCAAAGTACTCATCTGATCTGATCTTTATCCCCTGTCTTAGCTCGCAGCTTTCTTTTTTTGTCTATTTGGGCTTTTTCTTGTTCTTGAGTACGTGTTCCACCCCATACTCCCAACAAAGAGAAGATATTCAAGATAACACAAGTTAGACCCATGCTTCCCAGTCCCCCAAAATGGGCAACTGAGTTTTAACAAACGAATAGCAAGACCTGATATTGATTTATTACATCTGCTCAACACAGATTCTCAAAAAGGAGCTACTCATCTGCAGCTAACCAGAGCCTCTGTCTAATCTGGTGCCAAAAACCCTAGAACAAGAGCCCGAGATCGACGAAAGGGAAAACCAGGGAGGAAAGCAGACAAACACCCGAAGAAAAGGCGACACGAAAATATCCTAGAGAGGACGAAAGCATGCCCTACCAGAAACTTGAACTCCTAATTAGTCCACGATCATCGTCATTTTAGGGTCTACTGCTACTGCATGAGTAGATTTCTGATAACAGCAGCTTGATCACTGTCGCTGTTGGCCAGCAGCTCGGAGAGTCGCTCGCTCAGGTCGTCGACCTCTCTGTGCAAGCTTCTTATGTAGCTGCACGTCTCTTGCAGCACCTTCGCTGCTGATACCTGCAAGGTTTTATGAACCCTTTCATCAACCATCAATTAAGGATCTTACTAAAGGTTTCGCTCGGAGCACCTATTAAACGGACTCAATTGAGACCGTTCTGATTTTCAAAGCATTAATTGCACGTAACACGAGAAAAAAAAACCCATTAAAAAATTTCATGTATAAGTAGTTGTTTTAGACCTGAGCAAAAATGCTCAAGAGATAAGAAACAGAAGGAAGAACCCGGAGGAGTGGGACTCCCCAATGTCACCTCTCGTATTCCAGTCCTCTCCGCGGAAGAAAAACAATTCACGAGTGGAACATGAGGGTTCACGTATATGTAGCTGTTTAAAAAGTCTCCGTGGCAATATTAGCAAAAGATCAATTAATTAATACATCTAATTAGATCTTTTTCCAGTCTAGAAGGGGTAGGAGAACGCAACATGAAGGAAAAGACTTTCCAGACAATTACTCAATTAAAAATCTTGATTGTTTTTCAAGGAATTAATTCGATGGGGTCTAAAGTCAGATTAGAGTCTTGTCAGCTTGAATTAGACTGCAATAATTTACGTTTGTCCCAATAGATACGACAACTTTTGTCATTCTTCTTTGTGGAGGAAAAAGAGATAAATCATGGTGAATAAACTTAGGTACTCTACTTTTTTTCGGAATGCTCGTGGCCTACACATTGGAAAACTGAATGATACTCCTTCGGAAAATCCACTGCCACAACTTCCGAGCAAAGCTTTTATTCATTCAGAAAACCTTCATTGTCTCGAAAGTATTCATCAAGTCATGAAGTGTGCGCCCTTTTCTAGCTGAAAAATGACATGTATCTGGAGAGATGTCGGGAGTGAGGTTACCTTGTCGGAGCGGCGGTTACGGATTTCGGGGAGGAGTTGCTGCAACTTGGAGACGAGGTCGATGATCTGGTCATCGCTGATTCCGGAGCTCCCGGATTGTCTCGATCTTGACCTCCTGCTAGACATGATAAACTAATGATCCTCTTCGAAGAAAGGTCAACTTCTGAAACTGAAAAGCTCAGACTCCGGGCCTCTCTCTGAACTGTTATAGTAGTAACTGGAGCGGGACAAAGTAATGGGTCGAAGAAAGCCCTTCTGTCAGAAGGCAAACGAGAAGAGCTGATCTCACGCAGGAAGCTATAGCCAAGAGAAGTGCCAGACTCTGAAGTCTGAACTTAAAAGAGAGTGATTAGATCAGATCAGATAGGGGGAGATACAGACGACTAGTGTCAGAAGAGAGACGCATAAACAGTACATGCACTTTAGCTTGGAGGAGCGGATTATAGGTGGAGAGAGAGGGCGAGAGACAGGGAGAGATTAAGGCACAGGAGAACACAGGGAAGTGGGTTCTGTGGGAGTGGGAGAAGACAAACTGCATGGGATGATGCAGTGGGCTGAAAAGGTTGTATTTAAATAGGGGTCGAGAGCAAGAGAGAGAGAGAGAGAGAGAGAGAGAGAGATGAAGGGCATGCCAATGCCATACTGTCTTTCGCTTGTGTGTGTTTCCCAGCTCGGGCTTGAATTGCCATTTCCCAAGTGGGCTTCCTGTTCTCTCTTGACCATGCTTACTCGAGAGAGAGAGAGAGAGACAGTGGTTTGTGCGTGTTTTTGTGCCAGCAATGCGGGGTCGGTGTCTGTCAGACTCCACACGCAATACATTGTTATTTTAATCTGGTTCCAGTACCGCTAGTGAAATCGCCTGTGTTCTTCTGCTTAAGCCGAGTTAAATTATCATTATTAAAAGTCTGCCAAATCTCACAGCCTCTAGAGCCAGCCGAGTTGGGCAAAAAATATCCAACACATGTGATTCGAGAAGTACTCATAATCTTGAGTTCGAGATCCTCGTTGCTTGATAGTTGAAATGATAGCAGGATGAATACGAAAGGGGTTATCCGTGTCCAACACTCAGCTCGATAAATCCCGAATGTCATCAGAAGTCATCTTGAACTTTGCAAGATTCGTGTCACTCTTCCTACTTAAGTACATTCGGATCCGTAAGCTCACTTGAGACCTTAATTTTATGTTTTTTCAATAAATTGAAACCTTAATGTTAAATGACATGCCATACTTTTCAAGTTATAACAACTAAATACTAAAATATAAACTGGGTTCGAATCCCCGCTCGGTTCCGTAATTTAAGTGGGGGGCCATGGCGGTGGGTTGCTGGGCTAGTCTCCCCCGAGGTATAGGCGCTCCGATTACCTGTGCGGGCTCGTCCCCGGGGAATGGTGGAGGATCCTCGGTTACCAAAAAAAAAAAAAACTAAAATATAAAGGATTTGGGTTTCTGCTAAACAAATATCAAATTTTCTAAATAAGATTCCCAACTCATCCTTTTAACCCAAAACCAATTATTCTATTCTTATACAGAGGATTTGTATGTTAGGAATCAAATTTAAACCAAGGCTCTTTGCTATTCCTAACCAAGTGATCTTATTAAAGTCAGTCAAAGTCCCGGGAATCGGACATGCATAGGGATTAGATGGTTCGATGGATTTTCCAAAATGAACAAAAGCATCGTTGATCATGTGTAAGGATTGTACTGCTAACGTGATGAGAAAACCAATTTGACGAAGTTGTCGTGTTTCATGAAAAAAATTGAGAAACCCTTGATTACGGAAGACTTATACCAATGTTAACTCTAAATAGTGGATTAACGGAAATTGGGTTTATAACCATTTGTTAAGGTTTATCATGTTAGAGAACGATGTGTTTTATTTATATCTTAACACTTCTCTCGCGCGAAAATCCTATAGGATGATGAAGTCCGATAGGTTGAAAAACCTTGGACATGCAAAAGTCAATATGTACAGGGAAAGTACCAAAAAAGTCCTAGTGTTCATTCGGCCATTTTCTGATTAAATTTGCCGGATGGATTCAATTGGTACCAATGTAAAATGATTTATGACTAAATTGGTCCAATTGAAAGGTTTATGATTGAATTGGTATTGATGCAATAAATTTATGACCTTTTTTTTTTGTACTTTTCCCTAATATAGACAAACACGAAGTCCATACTTTGGCTCATCAAGCACATGTGTCCAACTAAATAGACCTAGCTAGGGTAGAAAAATCAGACAAATTGTGTATCCATGTGAAACTCACGCTATCCTCTTGACTTGGATTGGAGAATATACGTAGTCAACATTCAACACGAGCAGTCGAGTAGGAGACTAAACCTAGTTCCGATGGAAGCAATGTGTCCTCGTTTTCTTACATGGTAGAGTGCGATTTGCACTACAATTGCCACAGATTATGCCGCAGATTCCACCCAGCTCTGCATAAACACAAGCACCGAATTCACGTAAGAAAAATCACACACTCCCTATAAGAGAAATGGCGGCCTTTCAAGATTGGGCAGCTCTTGAAACTGAACGTGGATCATTTGGTAGGAACATTATTGTTCTCAGTCCATCATTTACGCATGGGATTATTCTCACGATGCACATGTAAATATCTCGGGAAACGTATCAAAAAGTTATACGCCCATTGTGTTGGTACTAATTCAATCATAAACATATCAATTGAAGCAATTTAGTTCTAAACATTTTCACATTGGTATCAATTCAGTCTATCCGGTTAATTTAGGCCAGAAATCGCGAATGTGGATATCGATCATTCTACGTGGCACGGCCGGCGCTGACGTAGACATTTATTTAATAATTTTTTAAATATTTTTTTCTTTTTTTCCTTTCTTTTTTTTGCTTCCCTTTTCTTTTTGCCGGTGGCAATAGGTGAGGGCGAGCACCGGCAAGATCGACCCTCGCAGGCCATGGCCGGTGGGCGGCCACTAGCAAAAAGAAAAGGGAAGCAAAAAAAGAAAGGAAAATAATAAAAAAAAAATATGTTCACGTTTGCACCAATCATGCCACATAGAACGGCAGGGGTCAACATCAGCAATTTTCGACCTACATTGGCCGAATGGACTAAATTTGTATCATTATGAAAAGGCTTAGGATTAGAATGGTCCAATTGAAATGTTTAGAACTGAATTGGTACCAATGAATAAGTGTAAGACTATTTTGGTACTTTTCCCCAAGTATCTCATTAATATGTTCTTGAGTTAATCTAGCTATTCACCGACGACTAAGGCTCCGCTCGATAACTAGTCAAGATCGTCTCACCTTATTCTGAGTCCAGCTCGAGGTCACACTAGTGTAAACTTTGACCTCAACATCACTCAGCTCGACAAGCTTCCAAGTCTAATCGAATTAAAGTTATGTAAATAGACACAGAAAACTTTAAAATTAAAATCATATTTACATATAAAAATGTTGAGGAAAATCCTTCATACAGCGCAAATGACCGATACTTTGTCAGATGGTCAGTTTTCTTTGATACTTCCAACGGTGAGAAACGAGTAACAGGTGTGCATCTCAACAGTCGAAATGGAAGGGATGAAAATGCGACGAGCCAGTCCGTCATTAAGCGATTTTGGCACAGCAAGGTCCGAAGAAAAACTTTCTAAATCAAGACGGTTGACTAGTCAAAGCCGACACTGCATGCATTGCCATTTGCCATGGCGTCCTCTCGCAAAGCGCTGCCACCACGACACGTGGGCCCGGCTCCCGCGCACCGACCCACATTCTGAGAAACCGGGCGACGTCCACAGTGGCGTCACGATTTCATTAGCAGCACCATCGCCTTCGGGTGCTAGTTCTGGCAACCAAGACGAGGAGTTCCAGGTTACGAGCTTCGGATTTTCCAAAGAGATCAGCTCACGCTATAGCGACTGCATCATATACATACACGTAGCATCAATACGGAGATATAGAGTATCTTTCTGCAGACAGAAATGAATTATTAAACTAGATTCTGATCGAATGGGTTGCTCTCTACATCATTTTGTGATTAATCGCAGTCATCATATCATCATTGCCAGGCGAGACTCGCCCTAGATCTTTTCGTTAACACATGGCCACCCTTTAAACGCAATTATTATCTGGTGGATTCTTGATTGATGTCTCATTATCCCGTGTGTATAACGCATCCAATAATATCACAGGCATTGGTATTGAACGTACAAACCCTAGCTAGCTCGGTCTGGGAGTGAGCAGAAAACAAGAATCTCCCTCATCAGCTCGAATGCATTCAGATGTCCTTACTATCTCTTTTTTAATCATTTGCAAGTGTAAAATCAATCGCTGGCCCAAGTTGGCACATTATATGATGCGCACGGAATCACATTGCATGTTGGGGGAGGAGGAAAGATTTTCGATTTCTTTTATCCGCACACTCCGCCACAAGATCCGCTTCGTTCGAGTCGATTAGATTAGCGAGGAGTACCTGAAGATGGTTAATCATAAACACGTGCTCGTTCCTTGACCAATGACTTGGAGGGTGCAAGATTCAAATCGAGATTAATTAATCTTCCCATCTCTCTCTTTTCTGCGCCAACCTGAACCATCTTTAGAAAAACAGTGGTAATAATAATGATAATAATGCCTCGCGAGTTCAGCCTTGCTGACGAAATTCATTAGCTTCGTCTCGTGTCTGTGTTCAGTGCAAGAACTCTCTAATCATACCACCCACTTGCAGAATTTTTTTAGAGCCTTTCATGGTTCCAAAGTTTGTGGTCCCCCGCGGTTGCAGTCTTCTTCTTATTCTTCTTCTTCAACTAACTATATATAGATAGATTCTGCACCAGTTGCGAGCTCATACATATGTTAAGAACCTTAATTACATCTACTTGATATGTTAAGTACACGACTTGACTCGAGTCAGACAAGTGCTTGTCGCGTCGGTGCTGAGCTCAAACATGATTGAAGAAGTTTGCTAATAACTTCCAAAGGGATTGAATACATGAATCACAGTCGATCGGACTACATGTGAGTGAGATTTCGCACGCGTGCAAAAACTATGTATACACACGAGGGGCATATCTCCTAGTCCTCGCTAAGACGGTCGAATCACATATGGTATAGCTCATTCGTTCCAGAGTTCTGGTCTTGGGTCATGGTACACAAGCAGATCAGATTACAATTTGAAGCTCATTATACAATATGATAGAAAGTTAAATAACTATGGAACTTTGTTGAGGAGGAAATTGATTATAGTAGGGGGTCTGCTCAGCGTGCATCTCGGGAACACATGACCCTGATCCAATGGACAGCGAGGTCTCTGCTCGATGTCACGAGGGACACCCATTTCTTTACTCTGTCAAATTCAGTGGGATTGGTTTTATTATTAGGAAAAAGGGGGGGAAAACAAATAAATAAGTAAAGAAGAAGAAGAATAGTACTTCTCGTTCTTATGGACTCCAAGAAAGATTATAGATGGTGATATGAAAGTGATCTTCTCAGCATATGCTCTCTCTCTGTCCTATTTCCTCTTGGTAGTAAATAATGCGCAGATGTCATTGCAAGATTT